TGAGGCAATCCTGTTCCTGTCTCTGTAGTGCTGTGATTACAAGTGTGTATCACCATGCTTGACTTTCTATTTTCTATTTTAAAAAAATTGTAGTCATGCTGTCACTCTGAAGTGGGATCTGGTTTTGGTTTTGCTTTGTATTTCTGTAAGGACTAACAATTTTGAGCATCTTATTATATACTTGTTAGTACTGTTTTTGGAGAAATGTCTATTCAAGTCTTTTAACACTTTGCCCCTTTAAAAATGACTATTTAAAAAATATTTTATCATTTGTATTTTAATTTATGTGTATGAGTATATTGCCTGCATGTATGTAAGTGCATCTGAGTCCTGCAATGCCTGTAGAGATCAGAAGAGTGTGTTGGATCCCCTAGAACTGGAGTTATGGATGGTTGTTAGCCACCTTGTGTATGTTGGGATTCGAACCTGGGTCCTCTGCAAGAACATCCACTGCTCTTAACTGATGAGTCATCACTCCAGTCCCTAGACTTTTATTTTTATTTATTTATTTATTTATTAATTATTTATTTGATCTTTTTGAGACAAGGTTTCCCTGTAGCCTCAACTGGCCTGGATCTCCCTATGTAGACCAGGCTGGGCTTGAACTCACAGAGATCCATCTGCCTCTGCCTCCTGAGTGTTGGGATTAAAGGCATGTGCCACCATGCCTGTACTTTAGGCACTCAATAAATTTTATTGAATGCCCACGATGCGATGCCCTAGGTTCAAAAGCTATTAAGTCCCATTTGTTGTTGTATTATATTTGATCTGTTAATATTAATCTCAAACCTTTTAACACAATGTATTAGATTTGACTTGCTCCTGACTATAAGTTGTCAATGATGGAATATCACAGCCTTGGCTTTCTATATTTGGGTAGAGCGATTTAGACAACAGAACTTTGGGGGTTTTGTTTGTTTTGTTTTGTTCTGTTTTGTTTTGAGACAGGGTCTCACTATGTAGCCCTGACTGATCCAGAACTTGCTATGTAGATCAGGCTAACCTTGAACTCATGGAGATCCACTTGCCTCTGCCTCCCAAGTGCTGGGACTACAGGCATGAGACACCACACCAGGGTAAGACTACTTTTTAAGGGATGGAAAGATGGGTCAGTGGTTAAGAGCACTGGTTGCTCTTGCAGAGGACCTGGGTTCGATTCCCAGCACTCACATGGCACTAATGACTGTCTTAACTCCAGTTCCAGGGGATCCAACATCCTCTTCTGACCTCCAAGGGCATTGCATGACATGGGTGCACTTACATATATGCAAACAATGAATTCATACACATAAAATAAAAATAATAAACAAAATATTTTAAAAGACTACTTTTTGAATACAAAGGTGGAAAGTATCCTTTCCATAGAAAAATGATTGAATGTAACATCATCAATAACAGAATAAACTGACATATATCTTCATGCACTGAGATGGACACACACCATTAATGTAGGGTACTTGAGAAATTATTTAACTTGAATGCAATACTGGGAAAACAAAATACAAATTGAGGAACATTCTGCAAAAGAGAACCAGATTCTTTGAAAACAGTTAATGTTGCCAGGTTTGGTGGTTCATGCCTGAAATTCTAGGGCTTGAGAAACTCAGGCAGGAGGATTGCTGCAAATTTGAAGCTAGCCTGGGCTACAATGTGAAACAGTAAAGAAAAAGAAGTCTTAAAAACAAAGCAAATAAAGCTGGGTGTGGTGGTGCACACCTGTAGTCCCAGCACTTGGGAGGCAGAGGCAGGCGGATCTCTGTGAGTTCAAGGCCAGCCTGGTCTACATAGTGAGTTCCAGGACAGCTGGGGCTACAGGGAGACCCTGCTTCAAAAAGACAAAAACAAACAAACAAACAAACAAAAAAGCAAACAAACAATTACTCTAAATGCACTTAAAAAGACAGGGGCACTGACTGCAATGAGGAAGCAGCTGAGATTGGAAAAAAAAAAAGTCAGCAGAGGGGTTTTATCCGGATATTTTGGAAATGGGAATATGGCTTGCCAAATACAATGAATAGTATTAGATTTTGAGTGATAACATTTAGATTAGTAGGAAAATACCTTTATTTCTAGTAGCTATGGATTGAACTGCTTAGGGATCAAGGGTAATAGTGTCTGCGAAGAATTGAATGATTCAGCAAAATAAACCATGTACACACAGAGTGACTGGAGAAACGTTAAAAACTAGTGAATGTGAGTTAATAGTGCCGTTCACTGTATTTTTCTGGCATCCTTTCTGTAGGTTTGATATTTTTGAAAATAAAAAAAAATCGAGAAAGTAAAAATCTCTTCAAAGTCTAAGCAGTCTTTCTTGAGTTTATCATCTTTAGAGTATGATTAGCCACTTTATGAGTTAAGGATACAGTTGTAACCAAGGAGGAACTGAATGTTCAGAACACGTATCTTTCAAAGTTACTGTAGTCATTCAGAGACAAGCGAACACTGTGGTTATTAACTATGTGTCATTCAGCTTGATTCTTTGGTAGTCTGATAAGGGTGAGAAGAGGAACCAGCCAGGTCTGAATAGGGACCCTGGCTCGTCGAACCTGTTTAGGGCTGTTTCCCCATTGTAGGACGAAGAAAAATAACTGCTTGGCATGATCGTTTAAATTCTCATGATATTTAGAAATCTGGGCTTCGCGTGCAAAAGCTTCCTTTCAATGCAATGTTAATCTTTTCCTTCATTAACCTCAAGCAGTCCTGTGGGAGTAGGTAAAGGGGAGAGAGGAAATCACGTCTCCAAGGTCACACAGCCACTCAAGGACCCAGGTTTCCCGGCTTTGGTCTTGCGCCCTTTCCACGCCTGCGGGAGCACGGGAAGTGGCGCTCATGGGGATGCAAGGATGTAGAAGAGCAAAAGGAGAGAAGAGGCCGCGGGAAGAGAGGTGGTGTGAGACCCGCGAGGGCGCGGGCCAAGGAAGGACGCATGGAAAGGCTGGCTGCGCGACCGGCCGGGGTGCGGAGCGGAGGCCGTGGCTGGGGGAGGGAGGGTCACTCCCGCAGGCGGGTGTCCGGAGGCGTACAGTCTGGGCCATCTGCAGGGCGCATGCAGGAGACGGAGGCTGTGGCGCTCCCGAGGCCGTAGGCACACACCCGCAGGCGGCACACACCAGCCGGCAGCCGAGGCTCTGCACAGGTGGGCGGGCCCGCGGGAGCTGCGCGGTGTAGGGCGCTGTGGGGTCCGGGGTCTCGACCCCCGCCCGCAGGGGGGGAGGGGGCGGGGCGGGGCCGCGGGGGCGGGTCCCATTGGCCCCCGCTGGGGAGGTGGCCGCGGCGGCGCAGGCGCGGTTCCCACCTCCTCAGCCGGCCAAGCGAGCAGAGGCTGCATCCCAGCTCCCGGGCTGTAGCGTCGCCGCCGCCTCCGCCGCCAAGCCCCCCGCCCCGCTTCCGCCGCGTCGGAATGAGCTCCAGGAAAGGTGAGCGGCGCGCGGCCGCCCCGGGCCCCGCCTCGCGGTGCGCAAGCCGGCCCGCCCGACCGTTAATGTGTGTCTCCTCTCTCCTCAGTGCTGGCCATTCAGGCCCGAAAGCGGAGGCCGAAAAGAGAGAAACATTCGAAAAAGTGAGTCCGCGCGGCGCTTGGCCCCGACCCCGGCCCCGCCCACCCCTCCGGGGCCGAGCAGGCGAGTCTCCCGGTCTCTCAACCCCGGGTCTCCCGGGACGCGGTGTCGGCTGTGCGCGCCCCGGGCGGGGGAGGGGGGAAATGGGGGAGGGGCGCGCGGCCGCGGGTTCCGGGGTGGAGACCCGGCCCGGAGGCCTGTGAGCGGCTGCTTGCGCGCTCCTGCCCGGCGCCCCTGCCCCTGCTCCGTCCTGCCCTGCCGGGTGCAGGCTCCCCACTCGCACCTGGGCTGCGAGAGCCGGTGCGCCGCCGAGTCGGTCCTGACTCGTACCCAGTTGCAGGTCCAGTGGTTCGGTCTCGGGTGTGTTCCTGGCTTTAGTTCAACTCCCGGACCCGCGCGTTTCTGCGCTCAGGCTTTTCATTCAAAACTTTCTGTTTGGGTCGAGCGTTACTTGGGGGCCGTGGCTGCGCGGGGTCTCTGACTGCGGTGGGCGTGTGCGCAGGCTGCGCCTTGTGCCCGGGACCTGGGCGGTCGGCTTGTGATATTTAAAGTGTGCCAGCGCCAGCTACTTCCAGCCTGGCGGTGCAGCCCAGTGCGGCGGCCGCTGCCGGAGAAGCTTTTCCTGGAGAGCTGCTCCGAGGCGGCACAGCGCCGCCGCGTGTTCCTTTTTCCTCCTTCTCTCGGCCTTTGCCACCAGTTGTATACGTCTTTGCTCTGATTGGCTTCTTCGTTCTTTTGCTCAAGAATCGGTGTGATACCTTTCGTGCTATGGACAACGACAGTTCAGAACCGCCTTTAATAAAATCGTGAAACATTTGTCCGTCTCTTTCCTTTGCGGATGGGGGATGGGGACCCTCCTCCCCCGCTCGCTTAGGTTTTTTTTTCTTTTCGTTCTTTTTGGCTTTTGTCACTGCCTAGCGAAGTTCCCTTATATTGGTGACATCCAGGAAGACTGGTAGTCATTGCTCGTGTGAAACAGTCACGACTGGATTGTCCTCATTTAAAATTGAACAACAACTTGAAAGTATTAGTAGAACTTCATAAGATGTATCTATCTAAAAATCCATTCTTAACCAGGTAAAGGATTTGGAAGAACTGGAAGGTAAAAATTAGATATGAACTTGCTTTAATTTTTTTTCTTTTTATTATTACCTTTTGTTTGCGTGTGTTTGGGTGCCCCGACGCCACAGCTTGTGTGGAGGCTTTAAAAATCTTCAGGAATCATCTGGCCTTCCATGTGCGACCTAGGGATCGAGTTCTGGTTGTCAGGCAACCAGAACTGCTAAAATATCAAAATTCAATGGGCTTCTGATAGTTTAAAATGCTTTTTAAGAATTAGTGCTATATTTTCAGGCTCATCAGAACTTTAAATTTGAGATTTCCTTTGTTGAACCTATGAAATTTAGGGGAGTGTTTGGGTCTAATCATACCTCTCAGTTCCATGGAGTTCATTATGGAGTTGAGAAAGCATAACCCTACTTTTTAGGATAACTCTGTGGAGTAGTTGAAGGGATAAAACAGTTAATGATGAAATGAATTGGATTGGTGTGCAAATGGTTATTAAGAAGAGCCCAGCTCAAAAAATAACTGAGGCAATACTAGTATTTTGCTTAATTCTTTCGAATCAAGACATTATTTAAAATAATTACTGGCTATAATTATTCATGTATTCAACATGTATTTGTAAGGCCTTTGAAGATAGTGGGAGAGCTTTGAGTGAGACAGTGTATTTTATGAAACTTAAATTCTGTGGAAGTTTGGAGAGAGCCAAGAAGAAATCAGATAGTGCTAAGGGAGAAAGCATGGGCAGCTTAAGTGATACTAATGGTAGATGACATGTTTCCTGTGCCAGTCATTGCTCACATGCATTTATATACAGTGCTTCCTGTGAAGTAGGTGCTGCTGTTACCATTTTACAGATGGAGGAATGGTGGCACAGTAAATACCCTGCTCAACTGGAACCAGAATCTATCTCAACTCTGAGGAGGTGACATTTGGGCACAAACTAGAAGGTGGAGGGGAGGGAGAAGGCTGGGCTGTCTGAGGAACCCAAAGGTCAGTGTGACTGAGTCATACAGAGATGGAGATGAGGCAGGTATCAAACATGTAGGGCTGTGTAGATCATTGGAGGCTTATTTCTGGGAAGGACAGGGTGTCCTTCCTTTTTTTAAGCCCATTGGCTGATTGTGGGGATGGAGGTAGGAATGGAAAGAGAGCTGGCCTGTGATAATAGTATATGAGAAATGTACTATTGGCAACTTGGCTCCAAGTCCAAGGTATGACACTGGAGAGAAGGGACTTGAGGGTGGTGGTCTTGAGGTCTTCCTCATTTTACAGACAGCTCTGACAGGCTAAAGTCACATAGCTTGGTTGGATCAACATTCAGGTGTCCCAATGCCTAGTTTTTGCTTAAGTCTCAAGATGAGGAAAAGAATTTCTAGGTCTAATTTTATAAACTATAGTAGTGACTGCCAAACTTTAGTGATATGACTGTGTAGGCTTAACTTAATGTAGTGTGTTCTACTTTTGCCATTATTGTTACATGCAAACTTGGTTTTCATCAGTTTTGGCTCATTTAGTTCTGTAAACATTTATGGATTGAACTGTTTCCTAGATGCGACTCACTCTCTCTCTCTCTCTCTCTCTCTCTCTCTCTCTCTCTCTCTCTCCGTGTGTGTGTGTGTGTGTGTGTGTGTGTGTGTGTTTGTTTAATATAGTCCAGACTGGTCTCAGAATTGAGGTCCTCCTGCCTCTGCCTCCAGACTGCATTGCATGTCTGGACCACTGTGCCATGGTCAGGAATATTATATCCTTAATTGAGTCAAACTTCAATCTTTTTAGGTTGTTCCAGTGAGTGTACTTTGCTTATCATTTTACTGCTTTGAGAGTACAGGCAGCAGGGAATTATTATGCTGTTGTTCAGTCGTGAAATTTATTTACTCAATATATAGCTCAGTCTGCTTTTGAACTCACAATTCTTCTGCCTCAGCCTGACAGGTGTGTGTACCCATCACATTCCAGTCAATCATAAATTTTCTGAATTAGCTGTATCTTCATAGTTGAGGATAGATTTTTGCCTTAGGGCATTTGTATATGTAGGTAATTAAAAAAAATGTTTCTTAAGGTCAGGCATGGTGGCACATGCCTTTAATTGCAGCACTTGTAAGGTAGAGGCAGGTGGATGATATCTGTAAGATCAAGGCTATCCTGGTCTACATAGCAAGTCCCAGGCCAAGTAGGACTACAGGGAGACCCTGTCCAAAAAAGGAAAAGAAAATAAAAAGTGGAAAAGCAATTTTTTTTTGAGATGGTTTTATGTAATCTAGGCTGGCTTCAGACTCACTGTGTTGTCAGTTTTGACCTTGAAGCCCTCCCTGCACCTTCTGATTGCTGGAATTAGTATTACACCATTGTATCTGGCTTGTAGATAATTTTTTATTTTCTTTTTTTGAGACAGTGTCTCACTGCCTCAAACTCACAGAGATCTACCTGCTTCTGTATCCTGGGTGCTGGGATCAAAGGCATATACCACTATACCTAAAGTAAAATATTAAAATTTTAATTAAATTATTAAATCTAAATTAATTTATGCATATGAGTGTTTGTCTACATCTATGTAGGTGTACCACTTGCATGCAGTGTCCACAGAAGCCAGAAGAGGGAAGAGGGCATTGGATCCCCTGAAACTGGAGTTTCAGATGGTTGTTAGCTACCATGTGAATGTTGGGAACCAAACTTGGGTCATCTGTAAGAGCAGTCAGTGCTCTTAATCACTGAGCCATCTCTCCAAACCTTCCCCCTAATACCCTATGGTAAAGTATATTTTTTGTGTATGTGTGTTTTGTCTACATGTATGTAAGTGCACCAGTGTCGTGCAGTGCCTGTGGATTGGATTCTCTGGTACTAGAGCTTTGGATGGTTGTTAACCACCATGTGGGTGCTGGGAGCCAAACCTGGGTCCTCTGCAAGACCAGCTGGTGTCTTAACCTCGGAGTCATCTCTGTAGCCGGAATAAATTTTTTTTTTTTGAGACACCATTTACTGTAGCCCCAGTTGAGTTGAAATATACTATGTAGACCAAGTTGGTGTTGAACTTAAAGAGAGCCACCTGCCTTTGCCTCTGCTTCCCAAGTGCTGGGGCTAAAGGCATGTGCCACCATGCCCCATATAGTAAAGTATTTTTAAGGTCTCTGTGTTTTTTTTTTTTTTTTTTTCTGGTGGTGGTGGGGGCTGGGCTGAAATCCCAGAGCGTCATGAATGCTAGACATATGCTCTACTACTGACTACATGTCCAGCCACATAGCTTTTTTATTGGGACATAACTTATAAACTGTAAACTTTTATCTTTTAGATTACTGGGTGTGATAGTACCCTTCTGTAGACTCAACTACTTGCGGAGGCCAACGCAGGAGAATTTCTTGATCCCAGAAGTTTGAGATCATTCTGGTCAGAAGGGAGATCTGCTTTTAAAAAACATGGTTTTACCTGGGCATGGTGGTGCACGCCCCTAGTCCCAGCACTTGGGAGGCAGAGGCAGGCGGATCTCTGTGAGTTCAAGGCCAGCCTTGTCTACGTAGTGAGTTCCAGGATAGCTTGGGCTATAGGGAGACCCTGTCTCAAAAAGACCAAAAATAAACCTTATTTTTACACCCAGGATTACTAACTTTTTTTGTTGTTGTTGCCAGGTGTGATGGCACATGCTTTTAATCCCCAGGTAGAAACAGGCAGATCTCTGTGAGGTAGAGGCCAGCTTGGTCTACATACCAAGTTATAGGCCAACTCTGGCTACAGGGTCCCCCGTCTCCAAAAAATTCAACAAAAAACTGCACATGTGTTTTATTTCTAATATTTTGGTGCTATAGATGGAACCCAGGGCTTCACTCATGCTGATTTGTGGTTTCTTCACACAAAATATTGTAGCCATAACTATATTGCCAGTATATGACTTTGTCTTAGATTGCTTTCATTTAATGTGTTTTCAAGGTTCATCTCATGTTCTAAG